GCTGAAGCGTCGACCATTTCTGGCCAGCAACTTTCAGCGTCATTAAGCGTCATTAACCCTAAGCCTTTTATGTATATGGAGGTCATATTTCCTATTGTTTCTCTCTTGCTACGGTTATCCTCTTCGGATATCCCTGGTGATGCTTAAAATGCCCTCTCTCTTTTCAGCATCTTTTTCTTTGTCGTGCTACTTTTCGATATGTTTTTCAGTCTTAAATTTTCTGTGAGAAGTAACAGCCCATTTTCAGCTGTAGCATCAGAGCAGCTTTATTGAAATGGAAATCCTGAAAGCCTGCCAGCTTAAAGTCATAGGATACCTTTCATTTTTTACAGAAGGCCTAAAGTTACTGCTAATAAAACTCATTCTATACATTTATGTTTTACTTTCCTAAAGGTGATGCCAGAATAGATTTTTAGTTTGTCTTTACTGATTCTAACCTCCACCCACCCCTCATTCAAGAATTTGATAGTTAATGATGGTAAATGGTAGATTAAGAAATAGCACTGTTTTCTCTCTCTTCCTACAGCCATGGCCTGCAAAAATTCTTTTCCTGTCGAGGAATCGCGATTGCTGTTGATTACTTTTGGAAGCGTGGCCATAGAAAGATTACAGTTTTTGTCCCACAGTGGCGAACGCGGAAAGATTCCAATATCACAGGTAAGGAATAAAACAAAACTGTTTCTTGGACCTGTGGATTTAAGACAGGCTTCTCCAACCTCATACCTTCTGCTTATCTGAACCACAACCTTCACTTTTCCAATATTCTGTCACTCACAAGCTTAGCTAAGAAATTAAACAGAAGAGAGAGGCTTTGTGGTTACAGAACACAGCAAAGAACCTGTTCTGCTGTCAGCCCTTGTGTCTCCATGTCTGTTTCTTACTGGCTTTTTGTAAGCATTGCGGTGCAGGAAGTACTTTGACGGTTAGATGAACTTAAAGTAGTAGTATGTGCATTATGGCCTATCTGGTACTTTCCTACCAAAATAAAATATATCTATTTTATTCTCTACCTTTTCCCTCCTCTTTTTTTCATAGAGCAGCACTTCTTAACCCAGCTCCAAGATGTTGGCATTTTGGCCCTCACCCCAGCAAGAATTGTGTGTGGAGCTAGGATTGCATCTCATGATGACAGGTAAAGAGGGTTTGTTCCTGATCTCCGGTTCTGTGACCCCTGGAGGTTTGAAAGAAAAGCTACCCAGCTGACTAATTCTCTGTCTTAGAAGATGCCATTAGAAAAGTTAGATATGTTCGCATGTGTTGGTTGTCAGATAATGAATGTACATCAAGAAATGAATATACTGATTTTAAAAAAAATAGTTTTTTCCCCCATTAATGTTTTCACAGACCTCTTTCCAGCTGTATTAGTTCCCAGGATGATTTCAAAGCAAGCCTCCCACTCCCTTCTCTTTCTTTTTTTTTTTAACTCTAAAATTATCCTGGAAACTACTACAACTGGAAGGAGATCTGTAAAGATACCAGTAGGAGGGGAAAAGCTACGTTTAAAAATCAGTTGTCATTGTTTGTATAAATGCAGTATCATACTATGACGTCATAGAAAACTAGTGATTTTCTTAACGATTTGGGGGGGTACCTTTTTCTTTTTTTCACCCCTTTCACTGTTTTTCTTGCTGACTATGGTCTGTTGGGAAATCATCTCATCTGCGTTTCTTCAAAAGGAAGGGAGTCACCCTGAAGAGCGCTGCCTGACAGTCTTCTGCACAAAGAGTATTGTCTCTTTGTCACTCTTACCCACCACATGTAAGCCCAACCTGGGCTTGTAACCATGTTTGCTCCTCACTAAACCAAAGAGATCTCTGGAATCAGTGTACAGGGACAGGCAGTGCGCAGGGAGGGAGTGCCATCCAGTGTTCCCATGGTCTCGGTATTCCAGAGTTCAGTGAGGGTTCTGGCATACCTGCTCTCCATAGTGCTAAAGAAAACCCCAAGTACCAGCTGTAAACCAAGTAGTTCCATTGCATGCCTGGGGCAGATCATCCTAATTGTTCCTTCCCCTTGCAGAGGTCAGTGGTGGCGATAAATCACCAGTTTGATGATAGGACACGGCCGACATCTTACCCAGACACTGCATATTAATCAGGCTTTCATCAGAATTTATTCATTGCATTCATTATAGTTATTTTGTTACCTTAAGAAATAACTAGGAATCTCTATAAAACTCTAAACATGAATTAATATTGATATCCTTGATATTTGTCATTGTTCCAAAGATAGAAGCATGTGATCATATAAAGGAAAAAGAAAAGGAAAAAGAAAAAAATGGGGAGAATGGGAAAAATAATAAAGAGAAAAATAATGAACTTAGTTCTATAAATTTAATTAATCATTGAAATAAGGAATTTGAAATTTTGCGGTAACTTTAAACTCTTTACTTATAAAGAAAATAAAAGTGTTTACAATTTTAAATTTTAAAATTTCATTCTTTATCTACTATGTCTGTTTCTGGCTTTTTTCTTTTATGTGGCTATTTATTCTGCTCCTTTAAATGTTTTAATAATTTTTTTTTCAAAAAAAGAATTTATTCAGGGCACAGATACTGATTCTCATAAATATGTTGTAGATTTTTGCTGCACCTTGCTGAAAAAACTGGAGGTGTTATTGTTACCAATGATAACTTCAGAGAATTTGTAGATGAATCCACAACCTGGAGGGAGATTATTCAGAGGAGGTACTTGCATTTTTTATTGCCTTGTGATAAAAAATTGTGTGTGTGTGTATGTGTACACAGTATAAATAATGACATCTCTTTATCCTTTTGATAGTTACTTTCTTGTTACAAACCTCCCTTTCTTTTGCTGTGTTAGGCTTCTGCAGTACACTTTTGCTGGAGACATTTTCATGGTTCCTGATGATCCTATGGGACGAAATGGACCAGGATTGGACCGTTTCCTTCAGGAGGAAACTAGTTTCAGGTAGAATGTTTTAGGGGCTTCCCAAGCTCTATCTTCCTTTTTTTCAAAAGAGGAAGCGGAAATAAAAAAAGAGTTCTGCACAACACCGAAAGGTTCACGAGATACAGAAAGGCAAGAAAGGTGGAGCCTGTGTAGGAGTGGCCCCTGCTGTCAGATTCAGTTTTTGTTGCCATTACTGAGTATGGTGGGTGTATATTTGCATCGTAGACTGCTATCATTAAGATAAGCCACGTATAATCTTAGTAATAACCTCTTGCACTTAGAAATGTAGTAGATTCCTTGTAAATATGAGGATATTCCTGGTATCATGGAGCATGCCACAGATGGCTCTGTGATGCAGTTATTTCAAAGGTTGAAGTTTAAGCTGGAAGTAAATTGTACCAGGACACAAAGATCTAATAGAACTTTAAAAAGTTTTCTTGGCTGCTTATATCAAATGGTAAAGCAAGTACAAAGTAATATAATTTTAAATGGCAGATGTGAAAGTTCATTAAGGCTAAGTAAGAGCAAGACTGAGAGCCAGTTTGGTGGAGTGGTGAGGTACCAGGCTAGAAACCAGGAGACCATGAGTTCTAGTCCCCCCTTAGGCACAAAGCCAGCTGGGTGACCTTGGGCCAGTCACTCTCTCTCAGCCCTGGGAAGCAGGCAGTGGCAAACCACTTCTGAAATCTTGGCAAGAAAACTGCAGGGACTAGTCCAGGCAGTCGCTAGGAGTCAACACTGACTCAAAGGCACTAAAAAAAAACAAACAGCAAGATTACTAAATATAGACTATCTTCGTGATGACCAGCAGTAGGCCCTCTTCTATGGGCACGGTTGCTTGCTTGTTTACCATTCAAAGACTCTTTACTGAATGCTGTTCCTTTCTTCTCCAGAGCTGTGCCCACCCAGTATGGCCTTGCAAGTGGAAGTCACCTTCCTTTGGGGATATCGCCTTTCCTCATGCAATCTGAAGGGAGTGGACAGTTGCCCCAAAACCCAGTATCTGCTGTCACCCCTGCCTTGCCTCTGTTTCCTACAACGCCTCTGGCAAACTCAGGCCTCCCCCCGTCTCCAAGATCTGCCACAGAAACAACCCATTTAAAAGAAGCCTTGAAAAAAATATTCCCTACTTCTGAGCAGGGGGAGAAGATTGAGGAAATCCTTGCCCAGCATCCCCACATGAGAGACATGAATGCTTTGTCTGCATTGGTACTTGATTTAAGCTGATGAACTAAAACCCCCAAACCTTTCAGTTTTGCAGTTTGGATTGTTAATGTAAAGATACATCTGAGTTGATGTCAGGCCATCTGTGAATAGTCAAAACGTAATCCTTTTGTATAAAAAATGTGAATATTCAGAGGATTTGAGATGCCCTCTTTGTTCACTTAAGTTCACTTTTTTTTCTTTTTTTTACAAATTTATACTGCGTACTTTTGAAAGAAAAAGTATTTATTAATGAGCTGGCTTTAAATCATTTACAAAAGCTACTGCAAGTTTTTTGAGAAGTGATCTGAAAGCAGCTCTAAATTCTACTGAAAGTAAATTCACACTTCTGGACTAAATGACAGGTGATTAATGGATTTAATTTCTTATATTGGATTCTCGTTGTTGAGTAATTCCTTATTAAACTATGTACATTTAACAAACCTAAATGAATGCAAGCAACTTGACTTGTGTTCAGAAATAAAATGTGGGTATAGAGAAACCTCTGAAGAATTGATGCAGGAGAATTGGTGCATCTTGCCTTCTATAACTAATCTTGTTAGGAAGACAAATTGCTGTTTTGGAGGACTTTGTAGAGTATGTTAGGAAATGGCTAGGTTCAAATGGCAGATGTACCAAAGGAACCTTTGATCTGATTCTGTATGCTAACTTTTATTATGTTCCGTGTTCTTCCTTGGTTTTAAAAACAAAAGAGGCATTTGATTCCCAGATTTTTATATAGGGTAATAAAAATATGGTGTTCTGTGGCACACCTCGTAAACATAGCATTTGCAGACAATTTGTGCCTTTTAGAAGCTCTGATAGTTATATGGGTCCAGACAAATAGGTCCTTGTCTGTTTGTGTGGCCCTAAGGATGTCACTTGATCACAATGTTCCATTTCAACATTATGCGATATCTAGAGTTCTGAAGTCAAACATATTTTTATTCAACCTAGGAATGGATATCAGTGGACTGTCAGGTATAGAAGAAAGAGGAAGAAAAAGGGCAGTGCTGAGTTGCACATAACACAAAATTTTAAAATGGGCCATACTTGAAGGACACCTGTGTTTTTTACAAGATGCTCCTTGTAAATGTAACCATCTTTGGTAAGGTGGGTATCTGGGTCTTCACAACAAGCCAAAAATGGGCTGTAGCTTAGTGGTAGTTTGCATGCAAAAAATTTCAAATCCATACTGGATGCCTCCAGATAAAGCCTGAGAACAACCATGTCTGAAAATCTGGAGAGCTAGAGGATCAGAGAGAAAGGACTGAACAATTTTCTTTCTTTTTCTTGCCTGCTTCTTCTACTCCAGCACATAGGAAAAACAACCGTTTTAGCGCAAGACTTTCAACGTGTTTCAGCTCCTCAGGAATTCCTCCCTGCTTAAAAAATGATAGAGGGGTTAACCAGTCTATTTATACAGCAGTCATATATACCAGCTGTGTGTTTGTTTGCTCATCCTTCACTAAACAAAATGATTTTGCAAAGAAACTAATACCATGAGTAGATCACACAATTTGCTCATGTACAGAAAATGTCTATATGAGATTCTTGGACTATGCAGTAGCTATTGACTCGGTTAATTAAGAAGCTCCAGCTAATGGTGGAATACAGGAGCCAATTTTTAATGGTCCATGAAATAGTCATTAAGGGCTGAATTGCCAGCAGAGTCTATTCACAGCAGGATTGGGCTGACTTTGTTATTTATGAAAACTGTCATGGCCCATTGATGCTTTAAATTTACCAAGCAGTAATTTGTATTAAGTCATCCTGAGTATGTGCTTTTGCTTGAGAAGCCAAATGTCTTGCAAGCTTCCTCTAATCTAATATTCTGTGCAACAGCCCTTGTGAGTTTCCGTTAGTCCATTGGAAGATCATCTATGGATTAGCTGTTGTTTTTTGCTTCTCTCTGGACTATAGTCTAAAGCGGTGTTCCTCAACCGTAGCGATTTTAGGATATGTGAACTTCAACTCCCAGAATTCCCCAGCCAGCCATGCTGGCTGGGGAATTCTGGGAATTGAAGTCCACATATCTTAAAGTCACTAAGATTGAGGAACATTGGTCTAAAGCATTGATAACATGCATACCAACAGAAGAACATAGAAGCTGTTAGGTGGGATAGAGAGCATGTTCTTAAAATTCAAGCTAGCTGTGTTCCCTAATATCTGGGGCAAAACTGCACGTTCCCCAGCCCTATTGTGGCCTTCTCATTTGCTTCAGCTCGAGAGGGACTGTTGAACCTCCTCTCTGCTCTTGTTCTGTATCTAATTCACTTCCTTTGAGCCTTCTGCCCGTGACTCACACCCCCCTGTGAAGGTTTATACAGGTGAAGCTTTACTGTGCTGTCGTATTATTAACATCATCATTATCAGAGTCTCCATGGTAACCATGGATACCACACATCTTGGGTTTTCTCAGCCTGATTTGTGACCATTGGTGTTTCACTCTTTCGCGTTATCTGAATTTCTTGACTAGAATTCCAGCAAACAGAGATCACATCTAGGGTGTGAATAAGGCCTCGATCTTGACTCTGTGTCCCCACTGAAAGGCAAATACGTCAAAAACAAAAGGTTGAAGTCATGTGAGCTAGCTTTCTTTACTTCGAAGAAGCTGTGGGCAAAATTAATTTCAGTTCCATACCACAAGAAGAATTGCTAAAAAGGTAATCCTTTCAACAATTGCCAAGCATGTTTTTGAAATGTCCTGTGAAAGATAAAAAAGCTTGCAACATTTTTTTTCTAGGTGGGAACAAGATAATTTTTTTTTTCAGGGCGGGGGATGGCCGGAGCTAGCAGCCTTTGATTAGTTCAAGCTGTGAAGCTCAGGACAAAAGTTTTCTGTTTGGTCTACACATATGCACACCCTAAAATGGGGCGGGGGCGAGATGTTTGAATCCTTTTGCTAATAGTCAAAGCAACGTTGAACCAATCAACAGGAAGCAGTCTTATGAAACCATTTCAGCCAAGTTAGCTAAAAGAAAACAAGGAAGTGTACTCAAGATTTATCTACAAACTATCCATGAGAAATAAAGAGACTTGGAATGACAATTTGCCAACTGAATGTGGTCCAGTCGGATTATACAAGCAAGGTTCTGCTGGGAACTTCCCCTCTAATTATACAGAGACTCGGTATGTTGCTAATTAGTTGACTCCCATCTGCTGAAAGTTTGGCCAGTCACTTTTCCAAGAAGGAAGACCTGCATTGTTTCATGAATCTTATCCAAGGTGGATTACAAAGCAGCTTAGTTAATTATTTGATCAAACTACCCGTCTAAACTGGCCTTTTCCCCAGTCCTCTGACTCAATGGGCTTGCAAGTCAAATTGCTGGAAATCGCCATTATGAAAAGTTCTGGTAATTGGTAACACGGTCATCTGGGTCTTGTATTGATGTTGGGTGCTTATCCTACCAGATCCTGGATTTTGAAATGCTCCTATGAATGTTGGTGTGGGGGCCCTACAATTGGCATGCTTTGACCACTGCTTCCTCTGCCCACTGATCAGGTTCTGTCATGCCATCTAGTTGAAACAGCCATTGCAAGATTCCCAGATCCTAGGGTCATTTTTTAGCAGATAATATAGTTCTAGGGTATAGTGGAGAGTGTTATGAAGAAATGGCACCTATATATTGTGAATGCACATCCAGGCTGTAAGTTTTGTTAGCAAACTGAGTCTTGGAGTAATCATGGAGCGAAACACAAAAAACAGGCAGGAGAAATACAGTAGCGACTGGATTTAAGATTAAGTAATTGCCCATTCACCAGGCTTAAATAATAACAGCAGAGTAGGAATTACCAGAACCTGTCCGTCCCATCAGGGGCTAAAATGTGAGGAATATGAGGGGAACACATACCTCAACAGGAAATATTAATGATGAAATAATGAATCGTCCAGTAAATGTTGCTTATTGGTCAGGCAGAAGGATCCTCAAGAAGTGTGTGTGTCTTTGAAGAACATGTTCTTCTAATTGGGGAAAGTTATTCTACCTTGAGCTGTTTCTCTTAGCTTGCCCAACTAATTCTAAATGGCCAAGGAGTCTGGAAAATTTTGCTTAATACACTCAAGCTTGGCTGTAGGATCCACTGATAAAAGCCATTGCAGCCTAGAACAGTGAATCTTGGAAGATTGGGAACAATGACAAGATATTAGATCTCTGTGAGCCACAAACCCAATCACGTGCCTCCTGGGCTAGCTGTCTGATGAAACAAAATTTACAAAATACAGAAATGTAACGACATTTTGGTACGAAGTGTCTAATTGCTCACACTGCTTTAGATGTTAAAGCTTTCTCAGCATTCATTGTTCCGCTGTTTTAATACTTTGGATGTTAGGGATGTCATCTTCAGAGACTACTATACAAAAAAATATGTTTATATAAATTTCTATGGTCTGCCTAAGAATTAAATCCAGCCCTAAAATGCAATTAAACCCTACACAATGCAATCCAAATATTGTGTGTAAAAGAAAAAAATAGTGAAAGGTGTAGGAGATAAAACTAAGCAGATAAAAAGATATTCTGATAAAACTAATACCTGCCTAAACGAGAAGGCGTTCACTTTATGACAAAATATCCTTAAGATATTCCTATATAGCACCTATCACATTTTGACCCTATCCAAGTGTTTTCTTCTTTTGAGGAAGAAGAATTTTAGTTGCCTAACAGGCAGCTAAAATTAATTCACCTGATTAAAGGACCTTAACTGATGAATTAATAGTTAGGAATTATTACTGTAAGAATATGAATAGAGCGTTTTTTAAAGAAATGTCTTTAAACTTGATTGATTATGAGTCATCAGGTTGGTGTGAATTCTTAGGAACCATATAGATTTTCTGCAGGAAAATCTGACCCCCCAACCTGGCCATTGAGATCTTCCAATGGTGGATCCATCACCACTGTGATCAAGTCCATCCACCTTACTGCTGTACACGTCGTCCTCTTTTCTGCGATGTTTCCCAGCTTTAGGGACTTCTCAAGATATATTTAAATTTACAGTACAATGTTACAAACATTTAAATGTTTGAAAGGAGCAGGGAAAGCACCCTAACTCATTTGAGCTCAGATCCAGAATGTATACTAGTGCTTGAATTACTAAAATCATTAACATTAGATGCTTATGACTGGTGTGGGTCTTCCGGGCCTTCGACAAGACATTAGATACTTATCTGGGATATGGAAAGAATGACATTCATCAGAAATAGACAAACTTTATTTAGTCTTGAATCCTGATTTCAGACGCTTATTGCAAGAGACTAGTTTCAGGGGTCTCGCATCTATTCCTTTCCCAGAAACGTAATGCGTGGAGATCTTGCATCTCAGGTTAGAGAAAGCCCTAGATAAAGTTAGATCACTGGCTGGGGATTTATGGGAGTTGAAGTCCACATGTCTTAAAGTTGCCAGGTTGATAAACCCTGAGTTAGATGATAACGCTGTAGGCTGCGTGAGCCTCTCGCTTGCTTGGAAACTCTCCTGCAGCTGAGCCTGGGAAAAAAGCATATATAAACTATTACCACCAGATGGAGGTAGAACCTTGAAAACACCATGTCTTTGGAAGGGTAAGTGCAGAGTTGGCCTAAACTCAAGCAGCAACAAGCAAGCAAGGGCCTTGTGTACCTGAACAGCACTGCAAATTTGGCAGTAATATAACTGATTGTATATTGGGGAAGGGTTAAAATATAAGGAACAGAAGGAGGAGAAACTTGTTCCCATGTCCATCATTAAAACCTCCAGAAATCCTGCAAACACACATTCTACCAAAATAATTCAGGGATCTTGGCATC